GGTTCCTGGCGGTGAGCACAAGGTTCCTGGCGGTGGGGGCAAGGTTACTGGCGGCGAGGACAATGTTCCTGCCGGTGAGGACAAGGTTCCTGGCGGTGAAGACAAGGTTCCTGGCGGTGAGGACAAGGTTCCTGGCGGGGTGGACGAGGTTCTTGGCGGTGAGGACAATGTTTCTGACGGTGAGGACAAGGTTCCTGGCGGTGAGGAATGGGTTCCTGGCGGTGAGCACAAGGTTTCTGGCTGTAAGGACAAGGTTTCTGGCGGTGAGGACAAGGTTCCTGGCGGTGAGGACAAGGTTCGTGGCGGTGAGGACAAGGTTTCTAGCGGTGAGGACAAGGTTCCTGGGGCCGAGGACAAGGTTCCGTGCGGTGAGGACAAGGTTTCTGGCGGTGAGCACAAGGTTCCTGGCGGTAAGGACAAGGTTCCTGGCGGTGAGGACAAGGTTTCAGACGGTGAGGACAAGGTTTCTAGCGGTGAGGACAAGGTTCCTGGCGGTGAGGACAATGTTTCGCGCGGTGACGTCAAGGTTATTGGCGGTGAGGACAATGATCCTGGCGGTGAGGACAAGGTTCCTGGCGGTCAGGACAAGGTTCTTGGCGGTGACGACAAGGTTCATGGCGGTGACGACAATGTTCTTTGCGGTAAGGACAAGGTTCCTGACGGTGACGACAAGGTTATTGGCGGTGAGGACAAGGTTCCTCGCGGTGAGGACAAGGTTCCTGGCGGTGAGAACAAGGTTCCTGGCGGTAAGGACAAGGTTCCTGGCGGTGAGGACAAGGTTTCAGACGGTGAGTACTAGGTTTCTAGCGGTGAGGACAAGGTCCCTGACGGTGAGGACAAGGTTCCTGGTGGTGAGGACAAGGTTCCTGGCGGTGAGGACAAGGTTCCTGGCGGTGAGGACAAGGTTCTTGGCGGTGATGACAAGGTTCCTGGCGGTAAGGACAAGGTTCCTGGCGGCAAGGACAAGGTTCCTAACGGTGAGGACAAGGTTCCTGGCGATGAGGACAAGGTTCCTGGCGGTGAGAACAAGGTTCCTGGCGGTGAGGACAAGGTTCCTGGCGGTGAGAAAAAGGTTCCTGGCGGTGAGGACAAGCTTCCTGGCGGTGCGGACAAGGTTCCTTGCGGTTAGGACAAGGTTCCTGGCGGTGAGGACAAGGTTTCAGACACTGAGGACAAGGTTTCTAGCGGTGAGAACAAGGTTCCTGGCGGTGAGGACAATGTTCCTGGCGATGAGGACAAGGTTCCTGGCGGTGAGGAGAATGTTGCTGGCGGTGAGGACATGGTTCCTGGCGGTAAGGAGAAGGTTCTTGGCAGTGAGGACAAGGTTCCTTGCGGTGAGGACAAGGTTCCTGGCGGTGAGGACAAGGTTGCTGACGGTGAGGACAAGGTTGCTGACGGTGAGGACAAGGTTTCTGGCTGTGAGAACAAGGTTCCTGGCGGTGAGAAAAAGGTTACTGGCGGTGAGGACAGTGTTCCTGGCGGTGAGGACAAGGTTACTGGCGGAGAGGACAATGTTCCTGGCGGTGAGGACAAGGTTACTGGCGGTGAGGACAAGGTTCTAGGCGGTGAGGACAAGGTTCCTGACGGTGAGGAAAAGGTTCTTGGCGGTGATGACAAGGTTCCTCGCGGTGACGACAAGGTTCTTAGCGGCGAGGACAAGGTTCCTGACGGTGAGGACAAGGTTCCTGGCGATGAGGACAAGGTTCCTGGCGGTGAGAACAAGGTTCCTGGCGGTGAGGACAAGGTTCCTGGCGGTGAGAACAAGGTTCCTGGCGGTGAGGACAAGCTTCTTGGCGGTGAGGACAAGGTTCTTGGCTGTGAGGACAAGGTTGCTGACGGTGAGGACAAGGTTTCAGGCTGTAAGGAAAAGGTTCCTGGCGGTGAAGACAAGGTTCCTGGCTGTGAGGACAAGGTTCCTGGCGGTGAGGACAAGGTTGTTGGCGGTGATAACAAGGTTCCTGGCGGTGACGACAAAGTTCTTGGCGGCGAGGACAAGGTTCCTGACGGTGAGGACAAGGTTCCTGGCGATGAGGACAAGGTTCCTGGCGGTGAGAACAAGGTTCCTGGCGGTGAGGACAAGGTTCCTGGCGGTGAGAAAAAGGTTCCTGGCGGTGAGGACAAGCTTCCTGGCGGTGAGAACAAGGTTCCTTGCGGTTAGGACAAGGTTCCTGGCGGTGAGGACAAGGTTTCAGACACTGAGGACAAGGTTTCTAGCGGTGAGAACAAGGTTCCTGGCGGTGAGGACAATGTTCCTGGCGATGAGGACAAGGTTCCTGGCGGTGAGGAGAATGTTGCTGGCGGTGAGGACATGGTTCCTGGCGGTAAGGACAAGGTTCTTGGCAGTGAGGACAAGGTTCCTTGCGGTGAGGACAAGGTTCCTGGCGGTGAGGACAAGGTTTCTGACGGTGAGGACAAGGTTGCTGACGGTGAGGACAAGGTTTCTGGCTGTGAGAACAAGGTTCCTGGCGGTGAGAAAAAGGTTACTGGCGGTGAGGACAGTGTTCCTGGCGGTGAGGACAAGGTTACTGGCGGAGAGGACAATGTTCCTGGCGGTGAGGACAAGGTTACTGGCGGTGAGGACAAGGTTCTAGGCGGTGAGGACAAGGTTCCTGACGGTGAGGAAAAGGTTCTTGGCGGTGATGACAAGGTTCCTCGCGGTGACGACAAGGTTCTTAGCGGCGAGGACAAGGTTCCTGACGGTGAGGACAAGGTTCCAGGCTGTGAGGACAAGGTTCCTGGCGGTGAGGACAAGGTTCCTGGCGGTGAGGACAAGGTTCCTGGCGGTGAGGACAAGGTTCTTGGCTGTTACGACAAGGTTCCTGGTGGTGACGACAAGGGTGTTGGCGGTGAGGACAAGGTTGCTGACGGTGAGGACAAGGTTCCTGGCGGTGAGGACAACGTTGTTGGCTGTGAGGACAAGGTTTCAGGCTGTGAGGACAAGGTTTCAGGCTGTGAGGACAAGCTTCCTGTCGGTGAGGACAAGGTTCCTGGCGGTGAGGTCAAGGTTCCTGGCGGTGAGGACAAGGTTCGTGGCCGTGAGGACAAGGTTCCTGGCGGTGAGGACAAGGTTTTTGGCGGTGAGGACAAGGTTCCTGAGGTTGACGACAATTCTCCTGGCGGTGAGGACAAGGTTTCTGACGGTGAGAACAGGGTTTCGGACGGTGAGGACAAGGTTTCTGGCTGTGAGAACAAGGTTCTTGGCGGTGATGACCAAGTTCCTGGCGGTGAGGACAACGTTCTTGGCTGTGAGAACAAGGTTCCTGACGGTGAGGACAAGGTTCCTGGCAGTGTGGACAACGTTGTTGGCTGTGAGGACAAGGTTTAAGGCTGTGAGGACAAGGTTTCAGGCTGTGAGGACAAGGTTTCAGGCTGTGAGGACAAGGTTCCTGGCGGTGAGGACAAGGTTCCTGGCGGTGAGGACAAGGTTCCTGCCTGTGAGGACAAGGTTCCTGGCGGTGAGGACAAGGTTTCTGTCGGTGAGGACAAGGTTCGTGGCGGTGAGGACAAGGTTCCTGAGGGTGACGACAAGGCTCCTGGCGGTGAGGACAAGGTTTCTGACGGTGCGAACAGGGTTTCGGACGGTGAGGACAAGGTTTCTGGCTGTGAGAACAAGGTTCTTGGCGGTGATGGCAAGGTTCCTGGCGGTGACGACAATGTTGCTGGCGGTGAGGAAAACGTTACTGGCGGTGAGGACAATGTTCCTGGCGGTAAGGACAAGATTACTGGCGGTGTGGACAATGTTGCTGGCGGTGAGGACAAGGTTACTGGCGGTGAGGACAAGGTTCTAGGCGGTGAGGACAACGTTCCTAGCGGTGGCGACAAGGTTCTTGGCGGTGAAGACCAGGATCCTGAAGGTGAAGACAAGGTTCCTGGCGGTAAGAACAAGGTTCCTGGCGGTGAGGACAAGGTTCCTGGCAGTGTGGACAACGTTGTTGGCTGTGAGGACAAGGTTTAAGGCTGTGAGGACAAGGTTTCAGGCTGTGAGGACAAGGTTTCAGGCTGTGAGGACAAGGTTCGTGGCGGTGAGGACAAGGTTCCTGGCGGTGAGGACAAGTTTCCTGGCAGTGAGGACAAGGGTCCTGGCGGTGAGGACAAGGTTCCTGGCGGCGAGGACAAGGTTCTTGGCGGTGAGGACAAGGTTCCTGAGGGTGACGACAAGGCTCCTGGCGGTGAGGACAAGGTTTCTGACGGTGCGAACAGGGTTTCGGACGGTGAGGACAAGGTTTCTGGCTGTGAGAACAAGGTTCTTGGCGGTGATGGCAAGGTTCCTGGCGGTGACGACAATGTTGCTGGCGGTGAGGAAAACGTTACTGGCGGTGAGGACAATGTTCCTGGCGGTAAGGACAAGATTACTGGCGGTGTGGACAATGTTGCTGGCGGTGAGGACAAGGTTACTGGCGGTGAGGACAAGGTTCTAGGCGGTGAGGACAACGTTCCTAGCGGTGGCGACAAGGTTCTTGGCGGTGAGGACCAGGATCCTGAAGGTGAAGACAAGGTTCCTGGCGGTAAGAACAAGGTTCCTGGCGGTAAGGACAAGGTTCCTGGCGGTGAGGACAATGTTTCAGACGGTGAGGACAAGGTTTCTAACGGTGAGGACAAGGTTCCTGGCGGTGAGAACAAGGTTCCTGGCGGTAAGGACAAGGTTCCTGGCGGTGAGGACAAGGTTTCAGACGGTGAGTACTAGGTTTCTAGCGGTGAGGACAAGGTCCCTGACGGTGAGGACAAGGTTCCTGGTGGTGAGGACAAGGTTCCTGGCGGTGAGGACAAGGTTCCTGGCGGTGAGGACAAGGTTCTTGGCGGTGATGACAAGGTTCCTGGCGGTAAGGACAAGGTTCCTGGCGGCAAGGACAAGGTTCCTAACGGTGAGGACAAGGTTCCTGGCGATGAGGACAAGGTTCCTGGCGGTGAGAACAAGGTTCCTGGCGGTGAGGACAAGGTTCCTGGCGGTGAGGACAAGGTTCCTGGCCGTGAGGATAAGCTTCCTGGCGTTGAGGACAAGGTTCCTGGCGGTGAGGACAAGGTTTCTCGCCGTGAGGACAAGGTTCCTGGCGGTGAGGACAAGGTTCCTGCCGGTGAGGATATTGTTCCTGGCGCTGAGGACAAGGTTCCTGGCGCCGAGGACAAGGTTCCTGGCGGTGAGGACAAGGTTACTGGCGGTGAGGACGAGGTTGCTGGTGGTGAGGACAAGGTTCCTGGCGGAGAGGACAAGGTTACTGGCGCTGAGGACAATGTTCCTGGCGGTGAGGACAAGGTTCCTGGCGGTGAGGACAAGGTTCCTGGCGGTGAGGACAAGGTTCCTGGCGGTGACGACAAGGTTCCTGGCGGTGAGGACAAGGTTTCTGACGGTGAGGACAGGGTTTCTGACGGTGAGGACAAGGTTTCTGGCTGTGAGAACAAGGTTCCTGGCGGTGAGAACAAGGTTACTGGCGGTGAGAACAATGTTCCTGGCGCTGACGACAAGGTTTCTAGCGGTGAGGACAAGGTTCCTGGCGGTGAGAACAAGGTTATTGATTATCAATTAAATTTAATTATTATCAATTGATTATCAATTAAACGGATTAAGAAAATCTTTGCAGATGTTCCTTGGATGACCGAGAAATTGAAAACATTTATAAAAAAAAGACAAGAAGCCTTTTTCAGTTACGGTCCAAAATCCAACTGCTTTAAATATTACCGAAATATTGTCAATCGCGAGAGAAAAGCGTGTAAATCAAAATACTATACGACCCAGGTTCACAGTAAAGAAAAAGATAACCCTAAAGCTTGGTGGAGTGAAATCAAACGCCTAGGAGGAATGAAATCAATGAACAGCTCCCTAATAAATTTGATAAATATCGCTGGTTTTGAAGATATATCGGAACAAGAACTAGCAAACAGAATAAATACAGCTTTTCTTGAACCCTTATCAGAATATCAACTATCTTCACCGTTAGAGCGACTTAACTTAGAGGAAAACCCAGATTTCTTAGAAGTTTCTGAAGAAAGGGTTTTATCACAGCTACAAAAACTCAACCCCAGTAAAAGTGGTGGCCCTGACGAAGTGCCCAATTGGCTCTTGCGAGAGTATGCTGTAATCCTTGCCCTCCCAATTAGTCTACTCCTAAATGCATCCTACAAACAACAACGCCTACCTGCAATATGGAAACTTGCGAATGTTTCACCGCTGCCAAAAGTAAAAATAGTACAGGACCTGAAAAAAGAACTTAGGCCCATTTCTTTAACACCTAATATTTCGAAGGTTGCAGAGCATTTCGTTGTTAATGATTATGTGAAACCAGCTGTTTTGAAGAAAATTGACCCCAATCAGTATGGAGCAATCCCTAAATCATCGACGATTTTTGCTCTTCTTAGTATGGTGCAAAACTGGACCTCCGGGCTTGACGGTACCGGTTCTACAACTAGAATCATTCTATTCGATTACCAAAAAGCTTTTGATCTAATTGATCACAGAATTTTGTTCAATAAACTACTTCAGTTAGATCTACCACGAAGTGTTATAAATTGGATTATTGATTTCTTAAGTAACAGATTCCAAAGAGTCAAACTTTCACAAGGATGTTTTTCAGATTGGGGTGCAGTACCTTCGGGCGTCCCTCAAGGCACCATTTTAGGTCCATGGCTCTTTTTAATCCTGATAAATGATTTATCTATCACAAATACTGACTTATGGAAATACGTGGACGATACGACAGTATCGGAAACAGTTGACAAAAACCAACAGAGTAGAGCACAGACAATTGCTAATGAGATGTCACAATGGTCCCAAAACAATAAAATAAAGCTGAATGAAGAGAAATGTAAGGAACTCCGTATTTCCTTCTCAAAAGTCCCTCGTGATTTTAACCCGATACTTATTAACAACAAAAGTATTAGAGTCGTAAAATCCGTTAAACTTCTGGGTTTGTCATTCGATAATAACCTGACGTGGAATCTACATATCGAAGAGGTAGTTAAAAAAGTATCCAAACGAATCTATTACCTGATCCAACTCAAACGGGCCGTATTCCTCGGAATGATCTGGTTCTATTTTATGTTACATGTATTCGATCTGTTATCGACTATGGTATCCCTGTCATTTACTATTCGTTGCCAAAATACTTGCGTTCCGAATTGGAAAGATTACAAAAAAGAGCTATTAGAATCATCTGTCCAAACACTAATTACGAAGACGCTTTAATTAGTTGTGGACTGGAGTCACTGTCTGTTCATCATGAAAATATTTGTACTAGTTTATTTCAAACAGTAGTTGCTGATGAAAATCATAAGTTACGAAGTTTACTGCCACCTACACATACTTCTTTTTATGATTTAAGAACCGATAGGAAATTTGAAATTCCTAGATGTAACACTAATCGTTTTCAAACTAGTTTTTTTGTGGCTTCGTGCCGCAAATCATTTATCTAATGCTATTGAAATGACCTAATATTTTTAATAATTTTAAATTTTTTAGTATATTAAAGTAATAAACATCTTGTATATATAATATTTATATGGAATGTCATCATAATGGCTTGATAAACTCTTTTTTATATTCTCGTAATTAGTTAAATTTACTTGTAAAAAAAATACGCAATTCAGCCTATGGCTGCGAAGTATTTTATTAAATCTATCTATCTATCTATCTATCTATCTATCTATCTATCTATCTATCTATCTAACTGTGCGTGGGGCTTGCGTGGGGGCGTTTAAACACAAAATTAGATAAAGTAAGCAGCGAGTAACGACCGCTGACAGGCATTTTCAACATGATTGTGGACTCGTATTTTGTAAATAGGCGGGAATTTTATTCAAAACACTAGAAAACAGTGAAAAATAAAGAGAGAACAAGGAAAAACCGCCACAAAAATCATAAAAGAATGCAGTTTTTCCTTGAGATGTCTACGTTAAACCAAGGTATAGCTGTTTGGCAATTATATATCAGTGTTTCTTGGTGTAATGGACCATACTTCGTCTTCGAGAAATCGTCCTGTGCAAAAATATGTTCTGGTTTCGTAAAAACACCAAAGCGATAGCGTTTGAAGAGTTTATATTGTCAGGCAACATTCACATGGAAGATAGCGATTGAAAATCTCAGGTAAGCGTTGCTTTTCATTGTTGTTTTACTGAAAAATGTTGTTCACTCCTATACAAACGCCATTTTTAACTACGTTTTGGACAGTTAACTATACCCTAAAGCATAGTTAACTTTAACTACATTTTAACTGCAGTTAAGGCTAACTACACTTTTATACAACTGGCTTAACTACGTGAGTAAAGTCAACTATTTTTTAAGGCTTTTTAACTGCAGTTAGGACAGTTAGCGCTAACTACGTTTTTATACAACCGGCCCCTGGTTGAACCATAGGTGTGAACCAAGCTTAAGTAAGACTAGACTTTCTGGCGTTATTGTACTTTGCGCGTCCGATCCCTCGGACTCTTGAGAGACGGACTTGATCCAAGTCTAAAGTAAGACTAGCCTGTGAAAACAGTCGCCCGATTGTCTTTTGGTTGAGGAACGAGACAATGACAAAAATTAGCTAATGCTTGCAGTTTATACTTAAAACAACTGACTCAAAACATAACTTTCAATACTTTACAGCAGCCCAGTTACTATTGTCTTACAAAAACTTAGAATAGAACAAGAGTAACTGATCTACATAATCTGGAGCTGGGCACTTGAAGAGGTTTTTTGTACGCGAGGCGGCTATCAGAGCTGATTCATGTCACGAGAATGTTTCCTTTGCCACAAGAGAAGATTTGGAAAAAAACACAAGATAATATTAAACCATTATTAAGGGCCATTTCATATGGAAAAAAGTTATCCCGGTTAGCGAGAAAACATTTCGAGTACCGGGTAAAGTTTTTGGCTATGACGTAGCACTGGTGTGACGCGCAAGGCGGGAAAAGTTAAAAAAAACTTTAAATACATTTTATAAATACATTTTAAAACCAGAAAAGTTGTTGACACTTGACACGACAGAAAGTTTTCCAAGCGAGATCTCAGTACACTGGAAAACGTTTCGTCTCGTATGAACCCTGTATGAACGCAGTGTAACTTTTCATATTATTTTCATAACAAGGCGATATCTCGCCTGCAAACTTGTCGAAATGTTTTCTCGCTAACCGGGATAACGTTTGCCCATATGAACAGGCCCTATAAATGCTCAGTTGTTTTAAGTCACTCAAAACCATTGAACTGAGTATAACTGGAACGCTACCTCCAACTGGAAATTTGAACCAAACTTGAAGGCCAGTCCCAGTCTTTTCACGCATGCGAAGAGCGCTCAATCAGTCAATTATGACATAACACGCGTGTCTTGACCCGCAAACACGCGTGGCTTAAAAAAAACAGTAGGTAGTTTATGGTTGTTTACCATTTACATGAAAATTCCGGTGATTCCTTACGGAAAGTAAATGGAACAAGCATATTTCGACGGCCCAACCGGAACTTTTTCGGAATAAACGGTTTGTTTGAAAAGGTTGTCCTCTCTTACCGATTGGAAAGTTTCAACCGGTAAATGTTGTTCCATTTACATTTTTTAATTTTTTTTCACCAGTTCCAGGCTCTTCGCGATTTAACATTTGAAATTATTAAATGGAAAGCGAATAATCCGAATGGGATTTTCTATCCGAAATTTTGCTTACCATTAGCACAATTTCAAGCCGGATGGGTTTTACATGTAAATGGAAAACAACCTATATCAAGGTAGCATTTCAGTTACTATTCATTTCAATGCTCAAAACTGACACCCTCGCCGATCTTAATTGAGCAAAGATAATCGTACAATTTAACTATTTTGTTGTCTTCGACACCAGTCGAGACAACAAACTTTCGGCCGGGCTCTCCTTTAGGAAATATCGTGATTGTGTGATGTCCTCGATGAAAGGACATCTTGTCCGGGTCTATCTAAAAGAAAATATGGAGATGATTTCAAACGGGAGTATCAAAATTGTTGTGTTGTGTTGTGTTGTGTTGTGCTGTGTTGTGATGTGCTGCTGTGTGGTGTTGTGTATATTGCCCCATATTTCGACTATGCCCCAGCTAGTTTTTCTGTATTATCCACAACGTTGTTAATTTGTTGAACTTTTCAGCAACTCAGAAGGGTTAAACACAAGTATTGTGAATAAAGCCAAACTTGATCCAACACCTCTTCTAACATCAGTCAAAATGAACAGAGCTAGTGTTCAAACAGAGACAACATGTTGTATCCAGTAATGGTTGCATCGTTCAAGATTATATCACAGAAAAATCTTACCTTGATCTTAGCGGGATAGTGGTTATTTAATCTGCTATAAACCACCGTATAAATGAAAAACTCTGTTAACTCATGCTGAACATTGCCCCTGCCTTTTGTCACTTTCCTTTTGGCCAGACACAGTTTTCCAGGCTCATTTTTTATACCGATTGATCCGTCTATTTCAAAATGATCTACTGCATTCATCTTGTAGCGCAATAAACTTTCACTGGCATAAAAGCATAAACATTCATTTACAATGCGACGAAAGCATACGTCGAATTTCGTTCGCGTCGAATGCAAATTGAGACAATACATAATGAGATGATAAACCCATTAAGCTTATTATCTATTGTTCGAATTGCATTAGCTTAGTCATGGAAACACATGTTTCGGCGACTTCTTTTGTTTCAACAGGGACGTTTATGCCTGGTTCACACTGGCCATAAGAATTGGGGATTTCTATTGTCTGTGGTCATTGGTGTGTAAAATGCTTTGTCTGTCGGAAAAGAAAACAATAGATCGCCAGGCTTAAAGCCTGGTTCACACTGGTCGTAATTTAAAAATCTACAAATCATTTTGGGCCTCAACAAGTGCATGCATTACGATCCATAATCTTTCTGTCGATGCCGCATTTGTGCATCACTAGGCCGGACGTGGAGATAAAAAGCAATTTTTTCCAGCTGTGTAATCGCAAATGACGTGAAAGTTAATATTTTATAAGTGAGGGTTAGGGTTTGGCTGTTTCGAATCTGATGTTCTATTGAATTTCAAGGCCTGTGCAGCAGAAACTGGAATTTGGCACGGTCTGAAAATTGTAGTTTTAGAATCTACGGTCCATAGGCTTTCTGTCGATGCCTTACTCGTTCATCAAAAGTCAGTCCATGAAGATACAAAGCAGGTTATTCCAGGTGCATAATCGAAAAAGACGTGAAAATTAATATTATGCGGTTTCGAACCTGATGTTCTATCGAATTTCAAGGCCCTTGTAGCAGAGATTGGAATTTGGGCTAGCCCGAGAATTGTATTTTTGGAATCTACGATCCATTAGCTTTCTGTCGATACCTCATTTGGGCATCACTAGGCCGGACGTGGAGATAAAAAGCAGTTTTTTCCAGCTGTGTAATCGCAAATGACGTGAAAGTTAATATTTTATAAGTGAGGGTTAGGGTTTGGCTGTTTCGAATCTGATGTTCTATTGAATTTCAAGGCCTGTGCAGCAGAAACTGGAATTTGTCACGGTCTGAAAATTGTAGTTTTAGAATCTACGGTCCATAGGCTTTCTGTCGATGCCTTACTCGTGCATCAAAAGACAGTCTATGAAGATACAAAGCAGGTTATTCCAGGTGCATAATCGAAAAAGACATGAAAGTTAATATTATGCGGTTTCGAGCCTGATGTTCTATCGAATTTCAAGGCCCTTGTAACAGAGATTCGAATTTGGGCCGACCCAAAAATTGTATTTTTGGAATCTACGATCCATAATCTTTCTGTCCATGCCTCATTCGTGCTTCAGTAGGCCGGAAGTGGAGATAAAAAGCAGTTTTTTCCAGCTGTGTAATCGAAATTGACGCGAAAGTTACGAAAGGTTTATGCTATTTCGAACGTTATGTTCTATTGAATTTGAAGGATCCTGCAGAAGAAACTTGAATTTGGTCCAGTCTGAAAATTGTATTTTTAGAATCTACGGTCCTATGCCTTTTGTCGACGCGTGATTCGTGCATCATTAGACGTCATCACTAGACGATTAAAAAACCAGTTTTTACAGCTGCATGTCTAATTGCACAAGACGTGAAAGTGATTCCGACAGAACCAGGAATCGAACCTGGCTTTCTCATACGTGCACCCTTCGTTCTTACCACTAGACCATCTCGCCTACACGTCATTTAACTCCTTTTTTATTCTACTTCACTCTTTCTCGTCTCGGGTGGAATTAATTAACAAGGATGCCTGCCATTAAAATGCTTACGGTACAACCAGGACTCGATCCTGGCTTTACGCACTTGCAACACTTCGTCCTTACCACTAGACCATCTGGCCGACAGTTGCTTTAACTCCTTTTTTATTCTACTTCACTCTTTCTCGTCTCGGGTGGATGCCTGACATTGAAAGGCTTTTTGACTACAGCGCGAATCGATCCTGGCTTAGAACAATTGCAACACTTTGTCCTTAATTTACGACTAGACCATCTCGCCCACACTTGCTAAAACTCCTTTCTTATTCTACTTAGCTCTTTCTCGTCTCGGGTGGAATTAATTAAAATGGTTTCGACTACAGCAGGGATCGATCCGTAATTCTTCCTCATGCAACACCAGGAGACTACCATGCACTGACTCGACTAGCAGATCTATTCAGTGGTGTTAAACTATACTTATATATACATAATCCCTCATCACCAAATTTTATTTAAAAAAATTAAGTCGCCAAAAATTCAGGGTCTGACCCTTTACTTTTTTGAACGCAAATGTAGTTCCAATTTAAATGTCAAAAAATGGACGAACTTTTCTTTTTCCCCATTTCCCGTCTTTTTCAATTTTTATGCCAATCTTTGCACCATTTTTGATATCGTAAAACTGTACTATTACGAAAACGTAAAAGGCTAACCTTTCAACTTGCTTTGCCTATCTTTCAAAAAAATTATTAGTCTAACTAAAGGCTGCACAAGCGTGTTGTTGTTATCGGAAAATGTATGGCTTACTGAATTTGTCATTACTGCCAATACTCCAATAATACGTTTCAAAAATGACAAAAAGCTTTAGTTTTGCAGAGTTAAATTCTCAAACGTGTAAGGCACTAATAAGATGAAAGTATCACGAAATTATTGAATAAACCACATCGCATATATGAGCGCCGAATATCCTAAAGGGGGAGCGATATTCCTAGGCTATTCGCCCCCTTTTGATATATGTATTAGCGCGCTTATGAGAATCCCTCTCATATACAATTAAGCACGCTCATGTATGCTTGTATTGGCCTGCTTATGAGAAAACCTCTCAAAAGCGCGCTCATATATGCATGTATTAGCCGCATGCTTATGAGAATACCTCTCAAAAGCACGCTCATATATGCTTGTACTAGCCGCGTGCTTATGAGAATCCCTTATCAGTTTGGAATCTCATAAGCACGCGGCTCATCTATGCTTGTATTAGCGCGCTTATGAGAATCCCTCTCGTAAGCACGCCGCTTGTTTTAGCGTGTTTGTTGGCAAGTTATACCATTGGGAGATTTACAATTACAAACTAATATTGAAACTGTAAAAAACAGTTTAATGTATACGCGCATTCACTAATGAGTAATGACAACTTCAGTAAGCCATACATTTTCCGATAACGACAAAACGCTTGTGTACCCTTTAGTCGCTCGTAGTTAATGAAATTTTTTTGGGGGGAGGCAATTTGCCCTCCTCCTCCCCCCTTGATTGGCATAAAAATTGGTTGCCATAAAAATTGAAAAAGAGGGGAAATGGGGAAAAAGGAAAGTTTGTCCATTTTTTGACATTTAAATTGGAGCTACATTTGCGTGTAATAAAGTAAAGGGACAGGCACTGAATTTTTGGCGACTTAATTTTTTAAAATAAATTTTTGTGATGGGAGATTATGTAGATATTAGTATAGTTTAAAACCACTGAACAGATCAGCTAGTCGAGTCAGTGGTAGTCTCCTGTTGTTGCATGAGGAAGAATTACGTATCGATCCCTGCTGTAGTCGGCAAACCATTTTCCACTCGAGTCGAGAAAGAGTTAAGTAGAATAAGAAAGGAGTTAGTTACAGAAAGTGTGGGCGAGATGGTCTAGTCGTAAGGACAGAGTGTTGCAATAGTGCTAAGCCAAGAACGATTCCCGCTGTAGTCAAAAAGCCTGAATATTATGCGGTTTCGAACCTTGCGTTCTATTGAATTTCAAGGCCTCTGCAGCCGAAACTCGAATTTGTCACGGTCTGGAAATTGTATTTTAAGAATGCACTGTCCATAGGCTTTCTGTCGATGCCTTACTCGTGCGTCAAAAGAGAGTCTATGAAGATATAAAGCAGGTTATTCCAGGTGCATAATCGAAAAAGACGTGAAAGTTAATATTATGCGGTTTCGAACCTGATGTTCTATCGAATTTCAAGGCCCTTGTAGCAGAGACTCGAATTTGGGCTAGCCTGAGAATTGTATTTTTGGAATCTACGATCCATTAGCTTTCTGTCCATACCTTATTTGTGCATCACTAGGCCGGACGTGGAGATAAAAAGCAGTTTTTTTCCAGCTGTGTAATCGCAAATGACGTGAAAGTTAATATTTTATAAGTGAGGGTTAGGGTTTGGCTGTTTCGAATCTGATGTTCTATTGAATTTCAAGGCCTGTGCAGCAGAAACTGGAATTTGGCACGGTCTGAAAATTGTAGTTTTAGAATCTACGGTCCATAGGCTTTCTGTCGATGCCTTACTCGTTCATCAAAAGTCAGTCCATGAAGATACAAAGCAGGTTATTCTAGGTGCATAATCGAAAAAGACGTGAAAATTAATATTATGCGGTTTCGAACCTGATGTTCTATCGACTTTCAAGGCCCTTGTAGCAGAGACTCGAATTTGGGCTAGCCTGAGAATTGTATTTTTGGAATCTACGATCCATTAGCATTCTGTCCATACCTCATTTGTGCATCACTAAGCCGGACGTGGAGATAAAAAGCAGT